TACACAACACCAAAACAGCCCCCTCCACCCCCCAACAGAGCAGAGAGCCAGCCACAGTGCATTTAAAGATTATGTAAGAGGCTGAAAGTTTATATGTTCCATCAGCTAGGACTCGGGGTTTACAGGATACAGCCAATTACCTAAGGCTCACAAAGATGCCAGAAAAAGTTAGGGCGATAATGATTCTGACAGTCTGGAACCAAACTAGCACCAGAGCTGCTGCCTGTCCCCTGAGCAGCAGGCCCCCTGCAGCTGAGATGGACAAACTGATACACACGGAAGAAAAAGATGCTCTTCTCTGTCATCCGCGTATCTACGCAGCAGACACTCCCTGAGCACCTATGAGTCCTCCCTTCCCTCCTCTAGCCGCCCCTCCCACGATGCACCATCTGGGGGTCCAAACATGTGAAAGGGATACATACACGTACTTCAAGTCAAATGCAGCGCCCAGGCCGGAAGCTGGCTGCCCCTAATGGTTCTAGTGGGTTCGGAAGCCCTGATGCCTACAGCCAACGAAGAAAGGTTGGTTTTGCTTTTGATGAGCCAAAGTGACCCCAATCCCCTAGAAAAGTACCAAACTTGCACCCTCCCTTTCCCCCTTCTTCACTGCGAAGAAACCTGATGCCAGACTGTGGCTCCCGATTACAGATCTTTGTACATCTGAGGCCCTCCGCTGCTTCTTGGTGGCTGCTTGGGGGTTAGCAGGGAGGAAGGATCAGAATGGAACACCACACCTGCCTTTTGTTCACAGATGCCCTGGAGTTCGATGACTTTACGTTGTTTTACTGTGTATAGGAAAACCCCCCCGGCAGGTACTCACACACCCAAACTGGAAGAGATCTGGAACAAGTCAGCAGAACGTGCTGACGGCAGAAGACAGGTCACTTTAGCAGAGCTGTTTCTGGGCCCCCACCTAGGCCATTGCGGGCACCACGCCATCGCATTCCACAGCTCGAGTGGCCCCGAGGAAAAAGCGGTCTGTTCTGCTCTGCTCCCAGCACTCCCCCTCCTCCTCCCGATGGGGGCCTACACCGGCTCCGGAGCTTGGGCTAAACAGCCACCTGCATTCTGATGCCAAAACGCTCAGGTCCCCGTTACTCAGAAAGCACAACTGGAAACAACCCAGACACACACAGAGAAAGAACACAGTGCGTCCAGTCACAGAATGGACCATTACGTAAGAGTGAAGATGACCCAACCAACAGGTACGAGCCCCAGCAGGTGTATCCTGGCTGACTCGGGATCCACCCCAGAAACCACACACAAGGAAGGAAGGGAAGGAGGAAGGGAGAGAGAGAGGAAGGGGAAACAATACACACGGTATGACACTATTTTTATAAGGTTCAGAATTCCACAAAACTAATTTGTGTATTATTTAGGAAAGCGTGCGCAGCTGGTAAAAGGCATTTAAAGAAGGACGGGAAGAGGTCGATTATCAGGATGGTGGTGACTCTGGGTGGAGAGGCAGGGACTGGGAAGAGGCACAGATTGGTTATGCTCTGCTTCTTAAGTTGAGTGGTGAGCTCCTGGGGTTATCGTTATGCTTTATAATCGACACTTATTATAAACATTCGTTTGTATATATGAAATGACATAATAACACTTAAGAAGAAATTGCCAGCTCAGTGCCCGGTGGTCCAAATCTTACTTGCCGCCACCGAGAGCTGTAACTGACGGGAGGAGCAAAGGACCCTGGAGACTTGTAACAGGACATGCGGACGTCTCCCTTAGCAGGCAGACGGCCGCTTTCCCAGCCCTGCCTCTCTCCTGCAGGGAATCACCTCCTCCACCCCACGCAGTTCCGCGGGGCCACCACGGCATGACTTCCTTCCCCTCGCAGACAAACAAGCTCAGCAGAGCCTGGCAGGAGCGCTCCACCCGGGCTGTAGCACGGGCACAGGAGGGAAGGCAGGGGCTGCTGAGTCATTTGGGCCACAGGGTCCCCACAAGGCCGTCACCCTGCTCTGGACGCCCAGGGCTGCCCTGGTTTTTGTCCCTCCTGGCAGATCACCTCTACCTTCCGGGCTGTGAGCAGCCAGCATCATCAGAAAGCAAAACAAAGACAGAAACGAACCCTTTTCTTGCTTAAGTTAATCAGAGCAGGTTTCTGTTGGCTGTGCTCAAGGAAGCCTGGCTGACTCAGGAGGAAATGTCGTTCTACTAAAAGGCACGGGCGCGCTCTGCACCTTGGCCGAAGCAGGTACAAGGAGATGCCAGCAGAGACTGCTCCTGCGTGTCCTGCGTCACCAGCCCTAACGGTCTGTCCTGGTCGCTCTAGCTTACCTCCCGAAGTTTCCAGAATACACTGGACTCCAGACGTATACAATCCACCCAGACTCCTCTCCGGAACACACCCCTTCCAACTCCTGCCCGCACCTCCCGCGGGTGCCCTCACTGCCTACGGTGCTGGGCCCGAGCACCCTCCGCTGGGCACGGGCAGCCGTGGCCGAGCGCGGGCAGACGGGGAGCGGCTGGCCCTGCCCCTCGCCCGGCAAGAAACTCCCTCAGGCCTGGCAGGAGGCGCCCGCGTGCAGCAGCAAATGGGCCAGAGGTGCGCGGCCTGATAAAATGCCATCTTGTGAAAGCAACAGCCAACGCGAGCGGTTATGTTAAAATCATGGTTACCCACCCCGCGCGCTGATTCCGAATCAGCGCCCCCACTGCTCCTCCTCTAAACCGCCCCACCTGGCGTGAGCTCTGCGTCCCCTGGGGAAGGCGGCAGCTCGCCGGCGAGATGCAGAGCGCGTTCTGAGTTAGGCACGCACGGGGGTAGCAATGCACGTGTCGAATGGGGCTCCTCCCCTGAATCGAGCCCCTAAACTCCTCCATTGGGGCTGTCAAAACAGCAGCTCCGTGGGAAAGCAGACGGGGCGACGGTCCCAGTGAGGTAACAGGCCGCTTCCTCGGGTGGAAGTGACTCATCTCAGACCTGTTCCCGGCTTACCTACGACCCTGCTCCCTCGGCTGTCTCCCTTCAACGCCGAATCCCCACCTCCACCAGGAAATGGAAGCTCAACGACCCAGAAATAATTTGAACAAACCTATTTCACCGAGGATGCTCTCATTTTTATCTTCATTAACTCCTCGGTCCCTGTCAAGTACGCTGAAAGCAGGATTTATGTTTTAGCTGCTGGGTCTGGAGGATCTCAAAACTTCGACAATTTGTGCATTTAACGGAGGCAGAAGATATTGCGTGCTTTGTAGACAGATACAAATTGTTTTCCTTTTCTATTAAAAGAACACTGTAGGGGCGCCTGGGTGGCTCAGTGGATTAAGCCACTGCCTTCGGCTCAGGTCATGATCTCAGGGTCCTGGGATCGAGCCCCGCATCTGCCTCAGCATCCCTGCTGAGCAGAGAGCCTGCTTCCCCACTTCTCTCTGCCTGACTCTCTGCCTACTTATGATCTCTCTCTCTCTCTCTCTCTCTGTCAAATAAATAAATAAATAAAATTCTTAAAAAAAAAAAAGAACACTGTATTACCTCACTCACTGTATTTTTTAACTGAAAGAATTTAAGGTAGCACGATGTCCAGATGCTCACTAATTTTTTTCTCACGAAAGAGATATTACCCATTTAATAAACCCACATCTCTTCCTGTCTCTCTCTCTCTCTCTTTTTAAAGATTTATTTATTTATTTGTCAGAGAGAGAGAGAGCACACAGGCAGGCAGAGCGGCAGGCAGAGGCTGAGGGAGAGGCGGAGGGAGAAGCAGGCTCCCTGCTCAGCAGGGAGCCCGATGTGGGACTCGATCCCAGGACCTTGGAATCATGACCTGAGCCGAAGGCAGCCGCTTAACACAGTGAGCCCCCCAGGCGCCCCACATCTCTTCCTTTCTTAAGAGAAAGCCACACGCACACGCACGGCAAGGCTGTTCTGCTCAGCAGAACAGCTGGAGGGAGTCGCAGCTCGTCCCAGGGGACTGGCTCTTTATAAGACAGTGCGGAGGGAAACGCTGAGGTTTGGGGGGTCCACGAGGGGCCCGAGCGACAGCAGCTACCAAGACACGAAACGCTCAGTCCTGAAGCTCACCTCGCTGGTGCCCGTGGAAAAGCACCACTCTTGATTCAATTAATTCTGCTTTTTGTAAAATGTGGGGCTCCTCAAAATCCGTTCAGAAGTCTTCTTCAAGCACACATCACAGAGAGTGCTAGAAAAGCTTCACACCCCTGAGCTCTCCATGCCTTCCTGATGACTAGTCAAATTCAGCATTTCTGTCCCAGCGTATCTCCCAGTCACACCTGCCTTTGGTGAAGTCATGGAAAGGCAAACACTGCTGGTGCTGCTGTGAGGCCAGCTTGCTCAGAGCAAGTCAAAACCAGAAACAAGGTTGGAACCCATCAGGGATAAGGTCCCAGAACACTTGCTTCAAGTACACAATGGATTTTATAAGTGACGTTCCACAGAACCTATTCTACGTTTTTTGGTTTTTTTTTTTTTTTTTTAGATTTTATTTATTTGAGAGAGAAAGAGAGAGCGAGAGCACATGAGTGAGTGGGGGAGGGTCCGGGGGCAGGGGGAGAGAGAGCATCAAGCAGACTCTGCGCTTGGGCCCCTGACATGGGGCTCAGTCTCATGGCCCATGAGATCACGACCGGAGCCAAAATCAAGAGTCAGACGCTCAACCAGCTGAACCACCAGGAGCCCTGAACCTGGTTCTATTTTAAGATGGTGTTTTTCTTAGCAGGATCCAACAGTTGGGCATACCTTTGAGACAACAGAAAAGATTCACCAAAATATCCTGAACTGACTGATGGGCAGAAGGGTCTTACAGTGTATTTCCTCTCTGGGTCATTCTCACATGGGCTCTACAGTTTCATTCAAAAGCCAGGTTTCAATGTGCAGAATTCTGAAACTATAGGATACAGTGAAGAGAAACACGCTATTCACCATCAGACTGGGAGTTAGTCTCCATTCTCTGGATCCTATGACACAGAGCTGGAGACTTGATCTTGAGGCCAGTCTTCTACGTGGCCCTACAGACAGGTCAAGCAGAACTTACCAGAAGCATTGCTGATGTGCCATTGGGCCTGGATAAGTGGATGGACATTTCAGGAAACATCCTGTCAATGCGGCTGATCACATCATCAACATACCTGAGTGGGAAAAAGAAATGCACACGTCTGAACTGGAGCCTCAGTCAAAGAACCCGAAGCGACAGTGTCCTGAAGGCTTCCCTCTTCAGCTGTTCATCAGTGTGATGCAGGCAAGAAGGCAAATGGGATTTACAAGTGTTTTTACAAAAAATATTACTCCCTCATTCCTCCTTTTCAGCGCCAACCAGTTTTTAGTGCTTTCTTCTGGTATTTACTGCCATATTTCTATATGATATGTTTTTAATGCCAGTTCTTGCTTTTTCATTTCATTTTATTTTTTTGTTTTCACTTAAATTCTAGTTAGTTCAGATACAGCATGATACCACTGGCAGGTGTACAACACCGTGATTCCACAATTCTGTACGACCCCCGCCACTCCTCACAAGAGCAATTCTGAATCCCCACCACCTGTTTCACCCAGTGCCCCCCACCTCCCCTCTGTGACTGGCAAGCAGTGTGTTCCCTATAGTTAACAAGTTTGTTTTTCGGTTTGTCTCCCCCTTTCCCTCCCCCTTTGCTCATTTGTTTTATTTCTTAAATTCCACATATAAGTGAAATCATATGGTATTTGTCTCTCTCTGGCTTATCTCACTTGGCATAGTACTCTCGAGCTCCGTCCATGTCGTTGCAAATGGCAAGATTTCGTTCTCCTTTACAGCTGAATAATATTTCTGTGTGTGTGTGTGTGTGTATTTTTTCCTTTATCCATTCTTCCTCTATCCATCAACTGAGGGACACTCGGGCTGCTTCCATAATTTGGCTATTGTAAATAATGCTGCTATAAATGCCCTGGGGTGTGTATACCTTTGAGTTAGCATTTTTGTATTCTTTGGGTAAATATCTAGTAGTGAGATTGCTGGATGGTAGGGGCGCTCTATTTTTAACTTTTTGAGGAACCTCCATACTGTTTTCCAGAGTGGCTGCACCAGTTTGCATTCCCACCAACAGTGCAAGAGGGTTCCCCTTTCTCCACACCCTTGCCGACACCTGTCATTTCTCGTGTTGTTGATTTTGGTCCTTCTGACAGGCGTGAGGGGGTATCTTATATGGTTTTGATTTGTACTTCCCTGATGATCAGTGATGTTGAGCATGTTTTTATATGTCTGTTGGCCATCTGGATGTCTTATTTGGAAAAATGTCTATTCATGTCTTCTGCCCACTTTTTAAATTAGATTATTCTTTTTCTGGGTGTTGAGTTTTATAAGTTCTTTATATATTTTGGTTACTCACCCTTTATCTGATATGTCATTTACAAATATCTTCTCCCATTCCACAGGTTGCCCTTTAGTTTTATCGGCTGCTTCTTTTGACTGTACAGAACCTTTTTACTTTGATATACTCCCAGCACTTTATTTTTGCTTTGGTCTCTCTTGTCTCAGGAGACCTATCTAGAAAAAAGTTGCTATGGCTGATGTCAGAGAAATTACTGCTTACGCTGTCTTCGAGGGCTTTTATGGTTTCAGGTCTCACATTTTGGTCTTTAATACATTCTGAATTTACTTTTGTGCAAGGTGAAGGACAATGGTCCAGTTTCATTCTCTTGCATGTTCTGTCCAGCTTTCCCAACACCATTTGTTGAAGAGACAGTCTTTTCCTTATTGCATCTTCTCTCCTGCTTTGTCAAAGACTCACTGCCCATTCTAACTGTGGGTTCATTTCTGAATTTCTATTCTGTTTTATTGATCTTCGTGTCTACCTCTGTGCCAGTGCCATACTGCTCCAATTACTGTGGTTTTGTATTAGAACTTGAAGTCTCGAATTGGGACACCTCCAGCTCTCTCTTCTTTTTCAAGACGGCTTTGGCTCTTCAGGGTCTTCTGTGGTTCCACGCACATGCTGGCATTGTTTGTTCTAGTTCTGTGAACAACACTGTTGGTATTTTGATAGGGACCGCATTAAATGTGTAGATTGCCTTGGGCAGTACAGACATTTCTAATCCACAAACATGGAGTGTCTTTCCACTTCTTCAATTTCTTTCACCGGTGTTTCCTAGCCTTCAGAGTACAGGCCCTCCCCTCTTTGGCTAGGTTTATTCCTAGGTGTCTTACTGGTTTTGGTGCACCTGTAAATGGGATTGATTCCTTCATTTCTCTTTCTGCTGCTCGATTACTGGTATATTGAAATGGAACAGATTTCTGTATGTTGGTTTTATATCCTGTGACTTTACTGAATTCATGTACCAGTTCGAGCAGTTTCTTGATGGAGTCTTTTGGGTTTCCTATATATAGTACCATGTCATCTGCAAATAGTCCAAATTTTACTGCTCCCTTGCTGGTTTGGGTGCCTTTTCTTTTTGCTGTCTTACTGCTGTGGCAAGGATGCTTTTTCATTTTAAGCATGACCTAGTGACTTTCTTCTACAGAGATCAGAATTTAGCTGTCACCATCTTGGCCACTGGGCTCCAATACAGAGGCTCTTCCCTCTGCCCTTCTGGTCTAGGGATGGCAGTAGCCTCGCTGTCTCCTGTTTGGCTTCTCACTTCAGTTACCTACATAACTAATTCCCTGGATTGAATTCTCTTGGATTTAAATACCTGAATTCCTATCTTGCTGGTTGGACTCTAATTCAAGTTACATCATAATTTTTGCTTAAGTCAATATTTGGTGTGTACATTCTAAAATCTCTGCATATATATTATTTATTTATTTTTGAGAGAGAGAGAGAGACAGAGACAGAGAAAGAATCCCGAGCAGGCTCCATGGCCAGCATGAAGCTGAACGCAGGGCTTGAGTGCACGACCCTGATATCATGACCCAAGCCGATGTCAAGAGCTGGACACTCGACCGACCGAGCTGCCCTGGCGCCCCGAATCCCTGCATGTGTTTTAAGTAGCCACACAGGGGCCCACAAGTACATACATTCATTTGTACAGCTTCCTGTTTTGCCTTGATTTTCACTAGGTTAGTTTTCTCTGTGCCTACTACAATGTTATCCGCGTTATCCCCGAACTCTCTGCCTGACTCTAAAACTTCTCTCGCTACAGTCGGACACACCAGGCAACCTGTCAGTTCCATTTTTTCCTGGACACGTTCCTCTGAAAGAGAATCTTCTCTTTTTCTGGCCCAAATGGAACTTTTAACTCTCAAGGTTTACTAATCACTGACACTAAGTACTTAGCACGGTGGCTGGCACATACTACGCTCGTACTGGGACATCACGGGCCTGCTCTGCAGAAATGCCCTCTCTGAGCGGGACGAACTCTCCCCACCAGTGGAGGCTCGCTGTGATGACGTCAACCCACAGCACCAACAGAGCTGAGTCTGGCTCACATCCTCTGAGAATAAAATCATACCAGCATCTGTGCTCACCACCCAATCACACTGGGGAGGTATAATACAATAGCTGAGATGCAAAACTATCTATTAAGAGCTTTGTATTGGACTTCGTATCCATTGGGCATGATAAATTAAATTACATATCCATTAGATCAGGGACATATACAAGCTATGTTCTCTTGGGAGAAGAGGGAGATCAACTCTCCACTCACAGCATGACGATATCAGCTCAAAACCAGGGGCTCACAAGAGATAAGAGACAACATAATGCCATTTGTTAAAAAGTGAACACCAATGTGTCAGTTATAAAAGGCAGGGAGTAACTGTACTGAGGAACCTATCAGGTTTTCCTCAGAGAAATGTCCTCCAGCTTCAGACTTGGAGCTGAAGGGAGGGAAAAACCACAGGAGGCCCAGCGCTAAGTAACAAGGACAGTAAGAAGACCGGAGCAACAGTGTGTGAGAAGGGGGGGTGCGGAAAGCCACTTCCTCCTGGGAAAGGGAATCGACGGGAGACTGACACCTTTCGAGTGTGTAAGCGGCTTTTAGTAACTCAGTACCAAATAGCTCTCTCCTACCTCTAGGAAGGACCGTACGATAAGGGCCAGGCCTTGAAAAGTGAACTAGCTCAGAAAGAATGAGCAGTATTTCTTAAAAGCAAGGCCCCATGCTGTTGATTTTTTTTTTAAGATTTTATTTTTTAAGGTAATCTCTACACCCAATGTGGAGCTCAAACCCACAACCCCAAGATCAAGAGTCACATGCGGCACCGACTGAGCCAGCCACGTGCCCCCACCAATTCCGCTTTTTTTTTTTAAAGATTTTATTTATTTATTTGTGTGTGTGTGTGTGTGTGTGTGTGTGTGTGTCAGAGAGAGAGAGAGAGAGAGAGAGCGAGCGAGCGCACACGTGCATGGGTGAGAACCAGGGGAGGTGCAGAGGAAGAGGAACAAGCAGGCTCCATGCTTAGCATAGACCCCAATGCGGGGCTCAATCCCATGACCCTGAGATCATGACCTGAGCCAAAATCAAGAATCAGATGCTTAACCAACTAGGCCAGCCAGGCTCCCCCTCCCAGTCAGTTGATTTTTAAAATGGCGGAGGACACCACCTTTCCTGTAAAGAACAGACCACGACACTGCATGTCACCTCGCGCAGTCCCCTTCTAGATTTGTAGATTCATGATACAACCTTGGCTTTAGGCATAAATGCTATAAACAGGTAAAAAGATGAAGGAAGGAGGAAGAGAAATCATGCTGCATCACTGCCTGATGTTTTTTGAAATGGTGGATGACACAAGGCAAACTTCATGTCAAGTCACTGGAAACACTTCTGCATTTAGATACTTCTTTTCTAAATCTGTGTGTATGGTTGAAACCCAATTACTTCAGACTCAGCAGGAAGCAACAATCCACTGTCCTGTGTGATTGGAGGTCACTGCTAAGCATATGCTAATAAGGAGGGGGCGGGCAATGTCTTCGGGACCAATCCTCAATCAATAACCATCATAGCTCTGGACAGGAGAATGTGAATGAACACGTGGGACTTCAGCACCAAGGTAACATCATAATCTGGCTCCTTTGTACCTTTCACCTTGAAGGTTTCAAAATGCTTTCTGGAAAACCTGGCTCTTTAGGAGGCTAGAGAAATAGGGGAACGAGTAGGTTACGTGACGATTCCGGAAACCAAGCTCAGAGTGTGGATTTCCCGGACTCCATACCAACTA